TTAGGACGATAGGACGCTACGAATGGATGGCTAAAGTGCGAAACCACGTATCTCTTTGGCGGTGTTTCAAAATCTCAGCTCCTATTTTACTTATTCGCAGAAAGACTAGACAACATTAGCTTGAAAAGGCCTTGTCTTCTTGGGGCGTTTCATGGGTTTTGTCCCAGGGAAAAATCTCACTTGCGAAGTTGGGAAAAACATCGAATCAGTCAATACTAATCACAGTGCCAACTAGAGTCATTGTGGAGTCCCGGGAACGACTTAAAAAGAAGAAGAAGAAATCTTGTTGTGTCGTTTAATGGGGGAAAAGCCCAGAAGTTTCATTACTGCGATTCAAACTCGGGAAAAATCCCGTGAAACGTCCCGTGGAGACGAGGCGTTATACAGAATCTTCCTCAAACAGAGAGGAAAATTCACGGACGTTTTCATATAGTTAACTAGTCTTCTAAAGAAAAAATAAAGTATAGGAAGTGTGCAGCGTTGCAAATGGAGATGCGAGGTTTTGCACTTCGATCATCGAAATGATGCCTTTCACTATAAAAATTAGGCTACAATTTATTGAATATTACGAATGACAGCAGTACGCGGGACCTTCTGGTTGCTCGTGCTGTTGCACATCATAATAAGAACAAATACTAAACGGATAAGAGACAATTCGCGTAACGACGGCGGAGTTCTGTGATCTCTTTCTCTATCAATCTCTCTCAATGGACTTAATGCTGGTTTATCGGATCGGACAGGGCCGGATTTACCTACTTGCCGCCCATGGGCCGCCTGTATTTTGCCGCCCCCTTCTCATTCGTTTTGAAACATCAATAAAAACCATCAAGTGAACGTGCCAGCGGGGGTGGGATGCATAAGACGCCTTTACTCGTGTTGAACACATTTTTTGGGAAAGCCCTATCAACACTACTAGCAAAAATTCACCGAACTTTGCGCGGACGTTAAGTTTCGTAAACCTATTTCTGCGTGGACAAGGCCTTCCATTCATAAGAGATGAACGAAAAAATTATGAAAGAACAAACATAAATGTGGTTTAATGATTTTAACGTCCGCCGCCGCGCCGCGCAGATCGCACCGTGTTTGGAGCAATGCGTGAAGTATTCCGACAGTCTTGTAGGCGCTATGAGTTTCACGCCGACGATCGCTGCTGAACGCACTGTGTTTGACGCAATGCGTGAAGTATTCACGCTGTCTTGTAGGCGCTATGCGTTTCACGGCGCAATGCGTGAAGTATTCATGCATTCTTATAGGCGCTATCCGTTTCATGCTGACCGCAGTGACCGCACTGTGTTTGATGCTTTGATGCAATGCGTCAAGTATTCGTGCAAGCTTGTAGACGCTAATGTGTGTTACATGCCGATTGCCGCGCCGAGGGCTTCTCCGTTTCATCTCAAGTCCTCGTCATCATTTCTCCCTAAGTCGATTAATTAAAGGTGCTGTCTCTTGTATCACCGCAAGACGACAAAATTAGAAATTACTATACTCTCAGGAAATGAGAGATTTTGTTTGTAATTTTTTTCTAAATCCGTTTTTTTTATACCTACATTTAAAAAAATTGCAAGATTTGCCGCCATGGGCCGCGGCCCGTGTGGCCACCCCCTTAATCTGGCCCTGGGAACGGACGTTAATTTTTGCGCAATATTACACCCTCAAACGATGCGAATACTCACTTAGTTTGAAACTTTTAGGATTTGTTAAATATAGGCTACCGTCTTACCGGAGAGAGCAGCAATTTTTCGAAAACGAGTTTCCTTCAAACTTTAACTCGTCTGATGTAAATGAGCAATCGAAAAAGAACGAGAGCTATGACGCAGTAAGTGGGCGAAAACTGACGTCTATTCGGAAACATTAGCAGCGAGTGCACAATATTTCGCGATGGAGCAGCATCTCTCGCAGTCATCACCGTCTACTCCTAATAAGTAGGTAAACGAACACCCTTTGCTGCCAAATTCTGACCATAAAATTTATTTGCTGTCTTTCAAAAATGTAACCACGCAAAAGCCCTGCATAGACGATCAAATTCCGAACCAATTCCGATCAAAGTAGACATGCTGATGACTGGTGGTCACCATCTACGGGCAGCACTCTTTTGTTCAAAGTAAGATCAGAACGGAGTGCCACCATTCATCATTTCCTGCCACAGGAAACATTTCTGCCAAGTTTTCATTTGTTAAAATGAAGCAAATTAATGAGTTTAAGACTGATGACTCCCGATACTTTGATGCTACTTTGATCGGAATTGGTTCGGAATTTGATCGTCTATCCAGGGCCAAACAAACAGGAGACAGCACGTATGGATCGCATTTAGAAAAAAAGGGGCCAGTGTGATTGCAGTGTTTTCAAAATTGTAAAACCTCTTTTTACCTTTTAAACGAACTAAATATATGTACAGTATTAAAATTTACACGACGATTGCCCATTAATTTTAACAATTTTTTGGCGGGATTCAAAAACTATTCGCTATATTGGGAGATTTTTTAGATAATTAGGAAGAAGCAACATTTTAACAACACTTTGATTTGATGCGCTGGTTCCTTTTTGCTAAGTGCGATCCATATCGACGGTGTAAGTCGGCAATCCCATGACTTGGTTTACGACGTCGCAGACTTCCTATCATACTCTATTTTTTAAACGGAAAAGTAATCCACAGCGATTCTTTAAAACTGCCGTGATTTTTTTTCTCTCTGCGATGGAAATTCCGCAAAAACTTCAAGGAATGATGTCAATTTGTTCTCCTTTAAAAAAATAACATAGAGGCGAAGATTTTCAGACACCGGAAACGAGATATCGACGGTGTAAGTCGGCAATCACATAACTCGTTTGCGGTGTCTGAAAATCTCCGCCTCCATGTTACTACTTTAAAGGAGAACAAATTGACATCATTCCTTGAAGTTTTTACAGAATTTTCATCGCAAGGAGAAGAAAAATCACGGCAGTTTTAAGGAATTGCCGTTGAGTCGTTTTCCGTTTAAAACTTAAAGTATGACAGGAAGTCTACGACGTTGCAAACCGAGTTATGTGATTGCCGACTTACACCGTCGATATGTGATTGCGGACTTACGCCGTCGATATATACTGCAGTTTTGCACAACATATAATTAATGAGGCCTTTTATACACACTTAATGGCAAACTCCGTTGATTTGCAACGATCCAACCAATTTCTGAGAGGCTCCTGAATGATTTAACGAAGAATGAAGGGTGCCTTCAATAGAATTGAGATGTTGCATGTGTGAGGGATTTGCGATTTGACTGTTGATTCTTATGTAAAAGTTCGCGAGAAACACGATGGTGCCACTGGTTTTCTCTGAAATCATCTCCCAAGCTTAAAAAAAGCTCTCAAAGTGAGGCCAAAATGGAGGGGATATCCCACCCTACCCTGAGAGTCCACCTCTACATCAAGACGAACTCTCCATGCAAAGATAGGGAGCAAATACATTGACAGGGCTGCCACTTTATTTGGGGACTCCAAAACTGAAAACACGGCAACACTGCTAATGTATTTGCTCCCTATCTTTGCATGGAGAATTTGTTTTGATGTAGAGGTGGACTCTCAGGGTAGGGTGGGATATCCCCTCCATTTTGGCCTCACTTTGAGAGCTTTTTTGAGCTTGGGAGATGATTTCAGAGAAAACCAGTGGCACCATCCATCGTGTTTCTCGCGAACTTTTACATAAGAATCAATGGTCAAATCACAAATCCCTCACACATGCAACACCTCCATTTACCGCTCGCACACTCCTAGGTACATTATCTTAAGATTGCATTTCTGGTGGGACGTACCCGCCCGGCAAAGCAACGCTGTCACAACATTGCCACGGGTGGCGGCGGCAACGTTGCTACAAGGTTGACGCAATGTACGAAAATAACAGAGGAATACGTCCTCATGAACTAACATGTGAGAAGAGAGAAGGAGCGCGCAGAAATACGCTTCAGGCCACTAAAAATCAAAGCCAGGTGGGGGCCTTCCAGTGCTAGACTTCTTTTAGGTACATAATATAATATATATGTATTGCATTTTTGGAAAAGTCGTCTATAGCTAAGGGTCTGCTCTTCTTTTTCATCTCTGGAGTGTTCCTGGGCGCTTTGTTATACTTTTTTGAGGGCGAAGAATTTCGGTTTTCCTCAGTTCAGGAAAAAAACTCACCCCCAGCCTCACGGGTTCCCCCTTTTAAGATTCGTGTTTTTAAGTTTAAATCTAACGTTTTCCACCAATGAGGATTGAAAATCTTTAGCAAGGAAGAAAATTGGTGCTATCCACATTAAAAATATACCTCACAATCTGATAGATACAATCTACCTTGTGGAAAGAACAGTATAACAGTCTAAATTTTACTATTCGAATTTTACGAAATCACGCACCTCCGTTTGCAACGTCGCAGACTTCCTGTCTTACTTTTTCTTTTAAATTAAAAACTTATTAATGGCAATTCTTAAAAACTTCCTTGATTCTTTTTCTCTGTTCACAGAATATTCTGTGTAAATTTTAAGCTAAAAAGTTGGCTTTTTTTCTTGGGAAATTAAACTAGGAGCGGAAATTTTGAAACATCGTAAAAAATATACGTGGTTTTGCACTTTAGCCATCAACACGCTTGCTCAGGAGGCTATAAAACATCTAAAAGTGGAGAAAACTAAATTTTGAAATTTGAAATAAAATGATCAGAGTTCCCCGAAAATTCTCTATGAATTTGTGCAGTTGACATATTCGACCCCTGAAAATTCTATAAAAATCTCAAAAACAAAAATCTCTTGAGCAAGAATAATTTTATTATGCATCTCTGTTTATATTCTACTAGAGAGAGTGGGTCCATTTAGGATGGTGGGCCACAGAGGGATACATGTAGGATCAATTAAGCAATGTAGCCAAGCCAAAGCCTGAATTCAACAATTAAAATGGATGAAAAATCTGAACATTTTGCACATCGTGGCAAATCTGCAATTAAGTGAGGAGGAAGAGGAGGAAAAGAGTGGTTAACAGCTTGGTTGCAATAACTGCACCATACTCACATTTTGATCACAGGACAGGGGGGTTCGCCTCACCGCTTATTGATAAGTGACATTGAAACCTATTTTCATAAGTGACATTCGACGAGGGTGGATTTTTCCCGAACAGCTCCTCGAATTAAACGATTTCGGTAGAAACACGGGAAAGCTTTGTATTAATTAGCAAATTTGTTTCTCATTCATAAGTTTTGTACGCGCTAAGTTTCCCGTCTCAGCTGTGTTTGTGTGCAGTGTTCGGTTTTGACAGTGGGCATAACTTGTGTGAATAGGATTTCATAGATGATGAGCGACACACTGACTATTTTTGTCAGTTATTTTGACAAGAATTGCCAAGATGATAAATTTTTCTGATACTATGCGATTTAAGGTATGAATCATTCACTTCACATAATTTATATTACTTCTTGATACTTATTTAAAAATAAATTACTTTTGTAATAATGCGTTGCTTCACTCGAAATTATGATTAATTTTAACTAATTTCATCTTAGATCACTATGAAATGCAGACCATAAAAGAAAAAACAGCTATGAAACGTCAATCGTAAAAGAAAAAATTAAAGTTATGAATGTAAAAATTGATGTAAATCTTAAGGAAAGATTGCGTCAGTAATGAAAGTGAATTTTAATCTCATTGTTTGAAGCTAACTGAATATAAAGGACACTGCATGATGAAAGATAAAACTTTGAAACTGTTGATCACTAAGTGAGTACTTTAAGCCAACTTTGAAGAGCATCAAAGACATTAGTATGCTGGAGGGCAATATTTAGATGTGTTGATCAGTAATTGGTCATTTGATATTTTGAAACTATATGCTTATGAAGTGATTTTAATTAAATATTTGAAAGTTAAGGAAAAGATGAGAATTTTTATTTTGTTTTTCATTAATTTATGTTACCTTATAAACATAAAATATTAGATAAAGAGTGAGATGTTTTATTTTAAATAGAATCTACAGTTTTGAAAAAGAAAAAAAAAATTAGGAGTTAACCATTCCTGCTGTCAAACCTCCAGAGAATCCTAGCTGCGGACCAAATTTTGGAAACTTGTTCATCAAAAAGTGTGGAGGGTTTGAACTTTTATTGTCAAAGCTTATCAACAAGCAAGAACTCAATGTAATAAAGTATTAATGGGCAAATATGACTATTATGAGCTTTGCATATGAATGACATTTGAATTTTTTGGGGTATTTTGCAAAAATGCAGCTCCCCACGTTTCAAAATCATTTTCTTCGAAAGCACTGCATGAATCTAAGCCTAATTCAACTTTTTTGCCTCCATGACGACACGAATTTACTTTATCCTACAATGTCGCTTGTGACGGCTGAAAAATACTCTACTTGGCTGTCTACTTAAATAAAGTTTTTTTTTCGTTTGTTTTTTCATTTTTTTTTTTTTTTTTTTTAGAGACATGACCAGAAATAAAATTATCTTTGCTCCAGAGTAAAAGTATTTTTCTCAATAGTCATGATTTAATACGATCCTTGGCACGCTGGAACAGATTTTGAAAGGAAAACTTTGTTTTTTAATGGTGACTTCTTTTACGAAAGTCATTAGTAAAAATAATACCATTTAGAGCAAATTGATTATTTTTAAATGAAATTTGAAATTCCCAACCAATCTGCCAATTTACATTCGAAACTTGCTCAATTTTTAATCTTCCTGCCTCAGTACGCAGCAAGTGCATAGTGCCACAGATGTGATTCAATAAAAAGGGGTCACTTCAACTTAATGGTGCTGCGCAGAACCAAAAATGGTAGCCTTCAGGTGATGCAATTTCTTAATGGAAAGAAGAAAAGATACTTCTTCATCAAACAATTTAAAACATAGAAAGGAATGGGTGTTCAACTCTTTGAAGTATTTATGTTACTTCTTCATACTCAAGTAAATGCAAAACCTGGCTGCCATTATGTGTTCCACACAGAGATACCACACTGACGGTACTTTGTTGACTTGGTGGACATATTGATATCTTTGTTTCATTAAACTTTTACGGATGGAATGCACTCTTTTGCTGTAGATTTTGTGAAATAGAGAGGCATTAAAAACGTTATAAACAAGTTTGTCAATTTTCTGTCGAGAGTTCACGAGAAAAACACGATTTTTTTAAGTTCCAGCCAATATTTGCGATTTGGAGCAGCTCCATTGAGGTTCCATTGTTGAAATTAGACCAATTTCCCCAGTTTTTTTGTACTCAATACTTAACATGCGCCTCTTGCTTACGGATGCATTTTTTTTTTTGACAGCGACAAACTGTCTGAATGAAATCATCATGGAGAAAAAGAAAATCTTCAACGCTATGGTTGCAATTCTATTCGTGACAGTCATCCTGCCGTCTCAAGTGAGCGCTCGTAGAGGTCGTGGTAGGGGTCGTACAAAAAGCAAGGTTCAAATTGGGCTACCAGTCACAGGGAAATACAGAGACCCCGAGTCAGACCAGTACTACAATAATAATAACGTGAGTAAGATGCGCAGGAAATATAATTATAACGTGAGTAAGATGCGCAGAAAATATAATTAAGTGTCAACTTGAGATTTTGGTTCCTATTTTTCAATACTGTCGCCTTTTCATTTTAGTATTGGACTTCACTTGGTAATACACATTTATGCTAATTTAATAGATGTGTGCAGTAAATAATAAAAAACCCACTTCCGTAATAACAGCCCTAAAGAGTAACTTCAAGGGATTTCTGGTAAAGGTAGAATAATTTGCATGAACCACTATGAGTTATTGCCGATAAGAAAGTGAACAGCATCAAGCATTAGTGAAAATCAAATGATTTTTCAGATCTAGATGAGTAAAAAAAATGATGGCTGAAAAATCTTTTAAGATCTGTGTGAATCACTTATTTATTTAATTACTCCCTCACATACTTTCTTTTTTCTGCAGGGAGCTAAAATCATAATGGCTTCGCATTTTGATTATGAATACGTACTTGGACACAAGATTGCATTTCTGTGCACAGCCCGAGGGAATCCTAGACCTCAAATTACGTGGTACAAAGATGGTATTGAGATCTATTCACATCTTTATCTTCATGTAAGTATAGTTGGTTAGTTAATAAATAGGCAGCAAGCATAGTAAGTAAGCAAGTGAGTTATACGTTGCGAGGAAAATTTACTTCCACGGGCCGAAAGTGTACCAGGGTAATAGAGGCAATACCGAGTTTTTGCTCCAAATGCTGGATAGATAACTTAAGAAAAATATGGATGGCTCTAACTCAGTTTTTCCGTGAGAAGTTACTCCAAGGCATTCTGATGAAGCTTGCGAAAAAATTGTTTTCACTGTACTCAACACTCATTGGACAAACATTTGAATTTTAGAATACTTTCACCACACCTCTCTCCCTGCAGAGTGAAAACTTTTTAAGCTATTTTGTTCAAAACTTTAAAGGCTGACTGACTGATGAAATCTGAGACTTAACTAAAGACTGATGATTTACTACTTCAATTGCCCCCCCCCCCTTCATCCACAAATCATCAGACAATTGTCACCTTCTGATCTCCTCTTACACTCCTTGTTGCCAGTCTTTCAAGGTACATTCAAACTATCTCCTCCCGGTAAAAATTCATTCGAAAACCTACTTGGACAACTGATCGTTGTTTCCGTTTCTCTGTTCAGTATGCAGGTCAACAAGGTCAAAAAAGCGGGTTGTAGACAAATATTATTACATCTTGTTATGCTGTCAGCATATATCATTTCAAGGTGGAAGTTGTGGTAACATGTTGTTGGTTTTTGAAAATGATGAAGAAATTTCGACTCCAGTATGTAAAGCAGTTTTACTTTCTCCACGAAAAATTAACAAATTTTCAATCTTGACGGACTCACTAAACTTCCTCGCGTGAAAATGAATTTTTTGGTATATAAGTAAGCAAACGACTGCAACATATCCCAGTTGATTTTACCTTAGACCTGCTAACTCAGATCTTCAGCAAAATTATGAAAACATTTTAAAGTCGTGGCCGATTTTATATGATTTCTGCAAATTGGTAGGAAATAGATGTCATATATTATGATAAGATTTTGTGTTCTAGGTGCATGAATGGAAAATGGAAGAAACGATAAAATCAAAACTGGAAATTGATCCAGCAACACAAATGGATGCAGGAGTTTACGAATGCTATGCAGATAATATGTACAGCATTGACAGAAGAAGTTTTAAAACAGATTTCAGTATTGTATTTGACTAAACATGCGTAGTCCATACTCAAACCAACGAAATAATGTGAATAAATTTTTTTAGCGTGATTGTAAGTCGCAAATTGAATTTTCCTCACTTCCTGTTTACTTATTTGTGCAATCCAAAGATACAGTTTTCGATAAAATTCATTGCCAAATTTTAAAGTAAATTTTCTTGATAGATCAATTAGATGCTCATTTTATTTTCGGAATAGTGAAAATCTTAAATCAAACAAAAATAATTTCCAGACCCTCAAAAGTGTAACGAGGTTTTACATTGCGGTGATCAGAGCCTATGAAGACGCAAATTTGTTTCCTCACTTTAAAGTTTAATTTAAAGGATAAAATTAGTGATAATGTTATTTGACAAAATTTGGCAAAATACTAACTTGAAGTGATAATATCTGAACATCAACACACATCTAATCACACCATGTAACACATCTGGAGGATGTTCTGTTAGCAGCACAAAAAAAGATGGTAAAGCTATTTTTAGCAGCCTTATTTTTTTGTGTTCTTACAGCACAGGCAGAAATAGTATGCAAAACTGTCCCTCCCAATTATTTTACCGTTTTTGACAGAACATAAAACTTTTGTGAAAAGAGCAATTTTCAGGGTTTTGGGCCTCACAGGGTAAACAAAAGAAAGAAAAGGATTAAAGTAAAATTGCCTCACAGTAAAAAATTTAAAAAACGTTAAAGGGTGTTCAGAATTCATGTTAAGGGAGTAAGACACTGGATTTGAAGAAAATTCAAAAAGGATCTAATTATCATTTGCACTAAAGAAGAGTATCATTGAAAAACAGGCTTCAGTGAAAGATTGAATTTGTGGTAAGTAGCTTGGCGGGCAAATATAAAAAAAAAAATTAAACTATAAAAGTTATAGAAATTAATGGAGTACTCACTTTCTGTGATCACCGATGATATCCAAATAGTCAAACGATCTTGCATAAAACCCAGCAGGGCTGACGGCTCCCCAAAAGTTGGACCACATTTTGAACGGCCTTACCAACATTGGCGCGATTATGGTTCTGAAAATTTAATTGATTTATCATCCATTAATTTTGATTGACAACTGGAAAGATAAAATCTATTCTTCCTTCTTCTGACGAGTTTAGAATGTGTATAGGACTTTAAAACACAGAACATACTCACACTAAAAACGACTTTGAACTACTGCTTTTTAAAAATTATAAGGGATCACACATTCTACTTAGCTCCACTGATAAAACAGAGTCTAGCAGATGGACAATAACACAGGAGTTATTTTTGCTGGCCTCTAGCCCCTGTGAAAACCATTGACGCTAAATAAAGGGACAGCATGACATAAAAAATTTGAAATTTAAGCATATTACTCAGCCAAGAACTTCAAATTAAAAACTTGAAATTCCAACTTACATCTTGCTCAAATTATACTCGTGCTTTTTTTAAATTAGTGAGGATTGAGGATGACTTCCTCTTCAATTAAGAGGGGTTCAGATTGAACAACTTATCATTGTAAAAGAAAAATAAAATATTAGACTCACTTATTTTGTTCAATGAGAAGTTTCAAAGTGTCTGCATTATCTAGATGTGCCTCACTTTGAATCATGAAGTAATAGTCACAGGATTTCTGAAGGCAATACTCGCTGTAACAATGACAAATTGCGAAATTTGAAAATAATCAGGTAAAAAAGAGGATTGACACAGAGGAGTGAAAAATATGAAGGGGCTTCAATAGTTGTCCCTTCAAAAAAGTAGGGGAATTTTTTTTGGCGCTTTTGATTTAAAATGACAGGATAGACAGCTAATAAACTTAAAGTTAGCAGCAAGGACCTTGTAAAAACATTTCAACTAAGAAGGTACTTATCCAAAATTAGTGATACATTTCAAAACTATTTTTGGAAGAAATGAGTCAACTTTAGAAATTCTAAATCGTGTTTTTTCTACGGCAATGTAACCAATAGAAAAATTAGAATTTTTTGGGCGGGGGAGGGGGGGGGTTTAGTGGCCATGTTGGCGCAGAGCCCTGATTTCTTAGACGCCATGACCGATATCTTGGGTGCATTTGGCGCCTGTTAGTTTCGAGTACTGTTCCCAAACATCGATAAACTTCGATGAGGCCATTATTGTCAGATACGACTGTACTTATCAGGACTACGGGCAAGTTGGAAGATTCAACATGGAGAATATCTGAGTGGACTGCTAGGGACAATCTATCATCCGCCAATATCAACATGTGACATGTTTTTTCTTTTTATTTTTACATGTTTATTTAAGTTTCCAGGTAAAAAAAACAGACTTTTGACAAGCTCAATCTGTCGTGGACATTTTGTATTCAACATTGTGGCCTCAATGGCCAATTTTTTATTGGTCCCTTTTTACACATCCTTGGGATATTAAAAAAAAGAACCCATCTGCTAAAGGTATTTAGTGGACTTTAAGATTTGAATTTATGTATGTTAAACCAAATTTTATGCTCAAGTGATGCTTTGGTGACCAAAGTATTGGTGGCCATGATGACAATTGTCTCTTCTACAAAGGACGTCAAAATAAAAAAGTATGCGGATTATGTCGATTGAAGTGCAGTTCTTGTTGTGTCCAAAATTTGTTTCCTCCATGAATAAAAAAATTGAAATACTTACACTGCAGCGGAGAGAGCATCTTCATAAGGAATATCATCTTCCGGGTTGATAGTTTTGATATGGAGGTAGTCAGATTTTTCTATGAAACTTTTCACTATTTCTTCATGGTAAGAGACCTAAAAAAAAAACAAAATAGTTACACTTCAGCATGCAATAAACAAAAAGAATAAAGATCCTGTACGTTTAGGTGGAAAAAAAACCAATTAAAAGTAAGAACACTCAAAAAAACTTCAAAAGTGATACACAGCAACTGGGTGATTTTTTTATTCCCTAGTGTTTGGAAAGCTGCGAAGCTCTCCTGTGTAAAAGAAGAACCTTGGTGTCAGCAAGTTTAGCGAAGGAATTTTTAACAAGAAAAGTTGAAAAATCAATATCTAAGATTTCAACGATAAATGCCCTCCAGTATGCCAAAGAATAAGTTCCAAGTGGTTGGCCTATGTTTGATTTGATGAAGAAAATACAGCTGCATTTCAATAAAACAGTGTTCAACCTTAAACTTGCAGATTAAAACTTTGGATAGCTCTTGTTAGGCTTGAAATTTGGCAGCGTTTTAGCACTGAATTTTTTTGCTAAGACTTTCACCCACAGAGAGCAATAACTTAATACTAAAATTTCAGCAGCAAGATCCATTTTCTTGTGAATAATAATAACATATTTTAATTCCGGGCGAATATTGAACTTTCCGTTACGATTCCAAGAGTTCAGTTCACTCAACAGTGTTTATGCAACTCATGCTGTTGCAATTTTGAAAAAATATATTTCATGACAAATTAAGGTAAAAAAAAGGTGAAATTTCACTTACATTATTGTACAAAAATAAGGATACTTTCTTTGGAGGGTAGTCCAGGGCGGTAACTTTAGCAAGAAATTCTTCGATGAAAGGAGTTGGTTTATCTATGAAAACACCAAGCAGGACACGAGGGTAATTTTTTGGCTGAAAACAGAAGAAATTTACATAATTGAGAAGGAGCCGGATTTTGTAACACTTGCCATGCTTTATTTGTTTAGTAAGAAAACTAATTAACATAAATTCTTGAAAATTTGTAATGTTTTTCTTGGAGTACCTAGATCAGAAAAGTACGGACGGATCTGTAATCCAAAAAATCCATCAAACCTTTACGTTGCCTCTGCAAATAAAGTTGGGGCTTTAAATGGCAATAAACAATATGATATCAAAATACATGTTGTTATTACATGTAAATTGTGTGAATAAAGAAACTTTTAAATGCGAAAGAGTATGTAAAAAAACTGTAGATGCTCCATTTAACTTTTTGTGATAGGGAACATGGAAAATGTAAGAGCCGTAGAATTACAAAATATTAAAGCTTAGAAAATGTTAAATTTTAGAAACAGGGCACAGGGACACTCACCTTTAAAGAGCTAAGGTCAATTTTATTCTCAGCACAAGTTAAACACCCAGCTTGAGGTGTCCATTTGTTGGGTAGATAGTTACCAAGAGTATTTAAGAGGTGTTTGCTTTTTCCATTACCCTGGACAATGAGAGGAGCCGTTGAGTGACGTTTGTTGTACAAGAAAGCACCAGTTTCATCATTCCACCTCACTTCAACATCGTCTGAATGAGTAAAAAAGAAGGGAGTAGAGTCAATTCAAAAACGCAAGATGTAAGGTTGCTTAAAATGAGAGAAACGGCAGAAATTTCTCCTCTATCAGTAAGATTACTGCAATTACAGAATAAAGTCTACTAGTGTAAGATATTCCATGGTAAATAGAACCATGAGCTAGAAAACTTAAAATCAAAATATTGGTTCCACCGCTGAACCTGCATTATCCTGCTCTTGAATATTCTCGGGTTCAGACTTCGCCAGTATTGTTGCCGCGGTAATATAAATTGATGAGGGTAAGTGGCACTATCTGCTGAAAATAATATAAAATCTAACTTGAATTTCCAACAGATTTCTTTGCAAAAAAAGGCATATTATCAGGTTCCTTCCCAATGCTGCAGTCAAATTCTTAAAATAGCTATTCATTTTTTTTTTCAAAATTTAAGATTTTACTTCTTATTTCGTATTTTTAAAGTTAATGCATATTCAATATGGGACTAAGTGCGTTACTTACATGATTTAAAACTCCTAACATAAGCAGGGGGTACATACTGTGCCTACCTTAACCAGGCTAATTGGACTCCAAATTTTCAGATTAAAATTTAAATTTACACTATCTATATTCACCTAAATAAATTGCTCAGAAATGTTTTTTTGGAACACTGAGAAGAGTTTATCATCAAAGATTCGAATCCTGACATGTATGTATTTCCTTTACTCCAGAAAAATTTTCACCTGTTGCCTGAGATCCCTTTTTCCATAGACAGTTACGAACAATATGATTAGTAATATAAGTACACTTTGAGGTTAATCCCATCAAAGACTGGTCCATCAAAATTTTGGAGATGACAAAAAATCACACTCCGATGATGAAATTTCCAAACCATGTATCTAGATTGCTATGTTTCTAAATCTCATCTCTTCTTATGTTTTTAATAGAAAATGAATCAACATCATTCCTTGGCATTTTTACCGGATATTTTTTGACACAGAAAATTGGAATTATTGACGTTTTCAAAGAAGGCTTTAGAATAGCTCCTCTTTGAAATCATGGGGTGTGACAGGAAATTTGCAACACAACGAAGATGAATGATCGTGGAATAGCACCGCAGACTTGTATGATTCCATTGAAACATAAAATTAAACCTAAATCACAAAATTTTCCAACAACCTTAGTACTTTGAATGATTTGATTACCAAACCCTTTCATCGAACCTAGCCAACTCATTCTGAAATTTTTGAGCCCTACTTCCAGATTTTTGAATTGAAGATCATATTATTGGCCAAAATTGGGACCCCATTCCAGAGGTCATTCCAATTTACTTGCGCAAAATGAAAAATTCTGCTTCACTAGTTTCTATCCAATTCTTACCTTCTGCAAAAGACAGAGCCTGGAAAATTTCAGCTTTATAATCAAGCTTAATTTTATGTTTTGATCTAATGGCTTCATCCAAAAATAGTTTTGTGAACATTAACTGATCATCGTCCGAGTCCTTGATCGAAACAGTGCTTAAAAGTGTGTACAAATCATTGGCATACCCAATATAACCTGCAATGAAAAAACAAAAAAAAAAAAACCATTATTGATTTCTAAAAAGTTTATGAATGACAGAATTTTTTATGCGCTATCATACAAACGCCTAAACTATTTTTGGTACATTAGTTTGCTTAAATACTTCCTACACAGACACGCAAATACCATTATGGGGATCAACTGAAACTGTTTCCAGTGCTTGGTAAAAATGAACAATGTCATCACCACTGATGCAATACAGACAAATAATGCAATGCGCCACTGAGTAGGCATATCTCAGCTTACAACATTGCAGACTTCTTGTCAAAATTTATTTTTTATATGGAAAAATACTGGAAATTATTTCTTGAAAACTTCCTGATTTTTCTTCTCTGCGTGAGGAAAGTTCTGTGAAAATTTCAAAACATAGTATAGGTTTTTCTCCTTTAAAAAATAAACTGGAGGCGGAAATTTGAAAACATCGAAAATAAGCTACGCTTTCCTGCAGTTTCACTGTTGAAATATTCCAAAAAAAAAATAGCAAACATGAAGGTCATTAGTCTTTTGAAAGTTAAAATGTAAACGAACTTTCAAGACAATGACATAAATTTTTATTGAGGATGAGGGTCGCATAAGCCTTCAGCACCCCAACGAGTGTTTGTTCAATATTCCTCCTTTAATCAATACTACTAGTCATTAATGTTGACTGGATTTGTTCATTTTTTGTCCTGAACTTCACCCATAAAACTAATGAGTAGACTTGCAGCTGATAGTTGCAGTGAGTACAGCCAACTAATCACGTATAGCCTTGTTGTTTCATCACTGAAGACGTCAATAAATCTATAAAAGCTTGGGCTATACTTTTCTCTAGGTCCTTCTACCATAGACCTGTGAGAGCTCCATGTAACACCTTTTAGCCCTTCAGACGCACTCTTAGTGTAACTTTCTTTTGTGAAACTTGTGAATCCAAAATTCTAATACACTTTGAAATATTTGGTCCTAGAAATCGTTCTCTCAACATTTTTATGCTCTCCCAAAAATAATCCATTTATGTTATTACGAAAGCTTTTCATTCTTAAGTGGGCAATTTAAGGAGACCCTCCAGATCCTTCATTAGATCCATACGCAACAATGAGTTACGGAAACAGGAATTCAAGTACAGTTTAGACGTTCTTTAATATTTGAATAAATATTTGTAATTAGATTCTATTAAAAGGTAGTAAGTTGTGAGGGTTTGACCCGGCAATCTTGTATCTATGAGAAACAGGCATGAATGTATTTTATGTACTTATATAATGAAGTGATATGTGCGTTGTATATCATAAGTTCATTGATGATGAAGTCTGGATGTAACAGGAACTATGTTTTGAGGTGCAAATAGTATGGGAAAGTGGTTCTCCAAAGAAGTAAAAAACGTTAATAGTGAAACCGTGATTGTGGCCGCGGGAAATAAATCAGATAGTGTGGTGGACCATGATGCCGTGCAATACGGAATTTTCTCATTAATGTTGTGCGTTTTAATCAGCGTTGCAGTGTACACTTACCACCAGAATTTAAATACTTATAATGAGAATCTGTTTCAGGGTAATCCTTGGCAAGCTTTGGATCTGGCCAAACGGTTGGCTCTGCTGTGAACACGATGCGGGCATCAAATTCTTTGAATTTACTGATGATATTGTCAACTGAGGAAAGCATAATAGTATCATACCTGAAAGTAAACAGCAGAGTAGAAATTAGAACCACAGTGAAAGAAACACTTAAAGAAAAAAACTAAGATTAAAATGAGTTTTTGGGAATCCTCTTTTACCAAAAGATGAATACAGGAAAAAACGAAGGAGTATTCAAATAAAGAGGTGAAAACGAACATTAACATCCTGTACAAAATATTAGCATGCAAGAATTGCAGGCAGAATTAGTCCTCCCAAAGAGAAAGCACCAAAACGGTTGTATTTACTTTTGAGTCTTAATGAATTCTGATACATTCACAAATAATAAACATGATACCTACCCATCAACGAACAGAATGATCAAATCAGGCATATGTTTATAGGACTCTAAGGCATCCTTCAATAAATTCACTTTTAATCCGCCACCTGGACCGTACAGAACATCACCTCCAGTCCATCGTCTGCCCATCCCCAAAGTCTGAAAATATACATGTTTTCCAATAAACAACATGAAGATGTCAAAAGATAAGTGTAAATCTAGCATTTTGGAACTATCTATTGATGAGGTATATGTATTTTTATGATTTTACCACGTTTACCCCGTTTACCATGTTTTTTATGTTATTTTGTGACTTTTAGTGTGGAATAGATTTGATAACATCATTGTGACTTCCATTTTCCTTACACTTTTATATTATTTCAATTGTTTTTCTGATTTTTTACGTGGAATTGATAATTATCCTTCCATTCATGTACTGTTTAAAGCTGCTTAGCATTATAGATATGTTTATAATTATTTATCTGTTAATACTAGTACTTGTAGGATTTATATATGAATGATGACTAGGATTATTATATTGAGTAATCTAGGAATTAAGGATAGGAGTTCAGCAAAATGTATAAATTGCAATTATAACTTAACGAATTAAAAGTGGAACCACGAACTTTCTAAAATTATGAGTGTTATTTTTCCAGTTATGATTCCTATTTGCAATAATGGAGGAGGACTAATTATTTATACAATCAGACTAAGATGATTGAGACAAAACTCAGGGAATGTCTTTAAAAAGGGACTCTTTTTTTTTTATTTCAATTTTGTGGAGACCTGTCGAAAGATAAAAGCTGACCTGGAGTTTAATGAAATTTAATTCAGCGGAACTTCTGAGTTGCTTGTATGCATCTGTCTCATTCGTTGCTACAGTGAAAGCTAGAAATTCTGCAACAAAACAAAAAAACATACAGAATTACACAACAGGAAAAATGGTAGATGAAAGCTTCAGATAAGGGATGAGAAAAAGAGAGAACTCGTTGGTAAATAACTAGAAGTGAAATGAATCATGTTACACTGGAAGAACCACTAAGCAATGGGTTTCGGGGATCAAAGGTCCATTAAGCGTAAAAGTGGAACCAGTTTTCGACAGGGCTACATGGCTGAAGATGTGAGGTTTTTTCTTATAAGAGAAAATACACTGGAAAAAAAACAGGATCGATTCCCTTTATAATAACTCCATCGAATACATCACACAGGCTACAAAAATAAATAAAAAGAGGAAAACAAGAAAAGGGTGTAATTCATTCAACAAATATATTTAAGTAATAAATAAGAAGAAAAAACGACTCTGGAACAAATTGAACTGTCCAGAATCCTGGAACTCTAAATTTCATTCTAAACTCAAATATCCTTTCTTACGATTTTTAAATTCGCAATTTAAAAATTTGGGAAAACCCCTCAGGTATTTTTGTGACTTAAATTCGATCAATCCTGGTTAAAAACACAATGCCCTGTTAAATTAAGAGGGAACCATGAAGGCTTCGTCATTTAAGTTGATCAGTTCGGAATGTGCCGGGATGGGTTTTGAAAACCGTTCACGCAGAGACAGGAACATTTTGAAACGTTCGTGAGGAACTATTAGACCACTCTCGTCCTTAAACACTTAAAAATACCTGCGACTGCAAGGTTAGTCATTGCAGCAGAGCCGAAGCCTACTTATTGGCACATGGTGTCTACAATCCTCAGTTTTCTCATTCCCGAATAATGCCCAGCTTTTCCCTGAATTCTGAGGGTGTTCGTGATAGAAATTTGGATATTCTTATTTTCGAGAGAAAATATCATGACGGAAGTTCAAGGGTTTCATCTCATTTTTCTCCGGATTTTCTTAAAGAAAAGAAGAAAACTAGATTTTTCTATCGAGTTCAGGGCAGGGTGTTTACTGAAACAGGCTGATCAAAAATAAGTACTTTTACAGTACTTCTTCAGTACCTTATCAAGAAATTCAGTACCGCCTCCAACAGAAAAATTCCATACTTTTTCAGTACCTCCATTTGACGAAATTCGAAAAATTTGAAAATGCGACAAAAATGACAAAAAATTAAAAAAAATTCCGGACCTTTTTGCGGAATTTCCGCACTTTTTCAGTACTTCCGGACCACCCTGAAAAAAATCAGTACTATTTCCGGACTTTCCGGACTTGTAGACACCCTGTCAGGGGGAAATCATTAATGTGTTCCTATTTCGTGATGATTCTTAAAGACCCAATCAACGCGGACCACAAGGTTGAAAAATATAGTAAAGCTTCGATTGCCCGCAATTCGGATTATCTGCGGTTTTTTTTGGTGGCTTTGCCTCAAAAGCGTTGCAATTTGTTGGCTCAAACTTTTGTAAAAAAAAAAAAAAAATTCCTTCCAGAAGTGTTCGGCAAAATAACTTGTTAGAGGTAAAATGTATTCATTTTAAACAAATAATTACATTTCTGTCGGTTATTTAATCAATAAATCGAACATCCTTTTCAATCTGTATTCCTGGTCAAATCGCTTGGTTTCGGATTATACGCGATAGCTCCGGTCCCAATAACCGCTGATAATCGAGACTAGACTGTACTATAAAAAATAATATTTCCGGAGATTTTCTGGTTTTCTAGGTCCTAGATACGATGGCCAGCAGAGGCAAAATCGCCTATAGCGAGAAAAGAAAGCGATGGAGAAGTTAAAAATACACGAGCAGAGCAGAACTTGCAAGTTATTTCCGGGCTTACGCGACTGGTGCACAGTGGGTCGAGGCAATTGGAGAGATCGGACATGGATTTTTTTTACTAAGACTGCAGATTTCATGTTTATTTTGTAACACTTTAAATTCTAAAGAGTAAACTGGGAAGAAAATTTCATGAGGAAACCAATGGAACCACTTTTAAAACCTCAAAGTTTTGTATAACCGGAGTTATAAAGCTTTAACAGTTTCCGAATTTTGTCCGACCTCTCCCGTCGACTCGGTCCACTGCGCGGCGTGATTATCGGAAGAATCGTAAACATTATCGACAATGTAAACAAAGCGCGAGACGCTGCTTGGGGAGGGATATCCTATTCTTGCGGGGATATTTTGCGCACTCTTTCGGAACAAAAACAGTCCCTTCCGACTCGGTCGCACGAAACTCATATAATGGAGAAGGAATTTGCGATTTGACGGTTGATTCTTATGTAAAAGTACGCAAGAAACAAGATGGTGCCACTGGTTTTATCTGAAATCAACTCCCAGGCTCAAAAAAAACTCTCAAGTTGAGGCCAAAATGGAGGGGATATCCCACCCTACCCTGAGAGTCCACCTCTACATCAAGACAAACTCTCCATGCAAAGATAGGGAGCAAATACATTGACAGGGCTGCCACTTTATTTGGGGACTCCAAAACTGAAAACACGGCAACACTGCTAATGTATTTGCTCCCTATCTTTACATGGAGAATTTGTTTTGATGTAGAGGTGGACTCTCAGGGTAGCGTGGGATATTCCCTCCATTTTGTCCTCCATTTGAGAACTTTTTTTGAGCTTGGAAGATGATTTCAGAGAAAACCAGTGGCACCATCGTGTTTCTCGCGTACTTTTACATGATCAAATCGCAAATCCTTCACACATGCAACATCTCCATTATCTTGGACAGTGATCGGATATTCCTTTTACTATAATCTTTGATAGTGGCTCAATCAGGACCAGCCTAAGTGTACTCATCGATCGCGGATTGTTGCCCCATGTCAATCGAATGTTCGGTTTGGAAAAGCGAAATTTCGGTTCGTAAGCAGGAGTGCAGAAAGTTCACGAGCCTGCGACCTACGTTGGCGATGGGAAAATTGTAAAAAAGAAATAAAGCAAAATTGTATCTCTTCTTTACAATATTGTCTGTTGACTGTCCCATACAAAAGATTCTAGTGGGAAAATTGCGTAGGCCACGAACTTGAATAATGGCTGATAAAAAATGGTTTGCGTTTTGATCAAATAGCGCTCCATTTTTGCCTACACCTTTCGCAATTGTGTGCGCGCGTAGCCCTACGAGTAGCGTGCGATCTCGGAAATTATTGTCACCAGAATTCGGAAGTCGAAAAGCCGAGAACGAGCTTCAATCGGGTTCCGCCGGCGCAATGCTTGAAGTATCCCACTAGTTTTTCCAGGCGCTTCCCGCGATCGTTTTTCGGGCAATGGTCCGAGTTCCGGGAGATGTTAAAAAATGGTTGACGTTTTGATCAAATAGCGCTCCATTTTTGCCTACACCTTTCGCAATTGTGTGCGCGCGTAGCCCTACGAGTAGCGTGCGATCTCGGAACTTATTGTCACCAGAATTCGGAAGTCGAAAAGCCGAGAACGAGCTTCAATCGGGTTCCGCCGGCGCAATGCTTGAAGTATCCCACTAGTTTTCCAGGCGCTTCCCGCGATCGTTTTTCGGTCAAAGTTCCAAGTTCCGGGAGATGATAAAAAATGGTTGACGTTTTGATCAAATAGCGCTCCATTTTTGCCTACACCTTTCGCAATTGTGTGCGCGCGTAGCCCCACGAACAGCGTGCGATCTCGGAACTTACTGTCACCAGAATTCGGAAGTCGAAAAGCCGAGAACGAGCTCCAATCGGGTTCCGCCGGCGCAAGGCTTGAAGTATCCCACTAGTTTTGCAGGCGCTTCCCGCGATGGTTTTTCGGGCAATGTTCCAAGTTCCGGGAGATGATAAAAAATGGTTGACGTTTTGATCAAGTAGCCCCCCCCCCCAACCCCCTCAGAAGCTTTTCATTCCTTAAATCTAGATTCCTCAAGGTCGACTCTATTTTTTAAAAAAAATTAATTTAATGAAGCCAATCCGGGATTATCAATCGTTACATTTCAGGGATACACTTTCACTCAAATTGTGGTAAAAACGGGACAGAGAGTCAAGGATAATGACGTGCAGTCCTCCCTTTGCGGCGATTTTAGCGGCACGCCTTCAATCCGGCTGGCAGCAACATGCTTACACCCGTGGTTGAATAGTCGTATCACTGCGCCTGCCGTGAATGAGTTCAAATATCCTTTCCTATACGCGTAAGGAAGCGTATTTAGCTCCGACTGCAACGTTGCAGACCTCAAATAATGTCTTAACTTTTAATCATTCTTGTTACGAAAGGCAAATACAGTTTTTCTAAACAATTTCCGCCCATTTTCTTCAGTCGCCGGAAATTTTAACGCAACATTTTCGCTCGTTTCATACCTCATTTTAAAAAGATGAATTTTTAAATCGCAATCCGAGATTCTGAATCGTTACAATTCAGGGACACACTTTCACTCAAATTGTGCTAAAAACGGGACATAGAGTCAAGGATAATGACGTGCAGTCGTCCCTTTGCGACGATTTTAGCGGCGCGCCAGACAGGGAGATCGCACGGGACGGGACCCGAGTAATTGCTGGAGTGTGGCCCGCCTACAATCCGGCTGGCAGCAACATGCTTACACCCGTGGTCGAATAGTCGCATCACTGCTCCTGCCGTGAATGAGTTCAAATATCGTTTCCTACACGCGTAAGGAAGCGTATTTAGCTCCGACTGCAACGTTGCAGACCTCGAATAATGTCTTATTTTTAATCATTCTTGTTACGAAAGGCAAATACAGTTTTTCTAAACAATTTCCGCCCATTTTCTTCAGTCGCCGGAAATTTTAACGCAATATTGTCGCTCGTTTCATACCTCATTTTAAAAAGATGAATTTTTAAATCGCAATCCGAGATTCTGAATCGTTACAATTCAGGGACACACTTTCACTCAAATTGTGGTAAAAACGGGACATAGAGTCAAGGATAATGACGTGCAGTCGTCCCTTTGCGGCGATTTTAGCGGCGCGCCAGACAGGGAGATCGCACGGGACGGGACCCGAGTAATTGCTGGAGTGTGGCGCGCCTTCAATCCGACTGGCAGCAGCATGCTTACACCCGTGGTCGA